TTGTGAATAAAGCTTGTTGGTTGTTTCTATCTATGTATTTCTTTATTATGTCCTTCTGTCTCTCATGTCTATATGTATTCAGCTTGTTGGTTGTTTCTATCTATGTATTTCTTTTTTACTATCCTTCTGTCTCTCATGTCTATATGTATTCAGCCTGTTGGTTGTTTCTATCTATGTATTTCTTTGTTATATCCTTCTGTCTCTCATGTCTGTATGTATTCAGCTTGTTGTTTGTTTCAATCTATGTATTTCTTTATTATATCCTTCTGTTTCTCATGTCTATATATATTCAGCTTGTTGGCTTTTTTCCATTAATTTATTTCCTTTTTATACGTTGATCTGTTTATTTATCTATGTTTCTCTAGCTAGCTAGTAATATATTCTATATTTAACTGTCTGTTGAGTTTCCTAAAATCTAGTCCATTAAACAAACTAGGCGCTAGTCTAACTAGTCATTCAGGGTATAATTAAAGATAACAGCTAGATTCAGGTTATAATTAAAGAAAACGGCTAGATACAGACATCTTTGTACCTACCCTAACGTTGTCATGGTAACGATGGTGTACCAGAAGGCTGACGGGATGCTGGTGAAGTTGGTGTTCTCGACATTCTTCTCTGCGTAGAACATGACCGTGGCGAAGATGATGATGGCCATGGCCAGGGAGAAGACGAGAAACCCAAGCTCCGAGGCGCAACTCTGTAAAGTATACCCTAAGATTCGGAGTCCTTGCGAATGGCGGGAAAACTTGAAGATACGGAAAACCCGGAAAACTCTTAGAGTAACAAATGCTCCGGATAGGTCCTCGTTGCCGGTGAGACCGAGACTGATATAGTAAGGAAGGATCGCCACGACATCGATGACTGACATGACACTCCGCATGAAGTGGCACCTGCTGGGTGCTGCATATAAACGTAGTAGGTATTCAGCCGTGAACATCAGCACGCACGCGGTGTCCAGGCAGAAGAACGCGATCTTGTACGTCTCTCCGCAAGAGAGGGAGTCTTCCAGCTCGGGTATAAACCCGCACGGAACCGTCTCCACCACGTTGGCCATCACGGACACCGCGATGAAAAACCCCGTCACGTAATAAAACACCAGAGCCGCCGTGCTGGTGTGAGGGTTCTCGAAAGCTCGCCACATCTTCTCCCTGATCGTGTAGTTGGACGTATCTGTCTGTTCCTTATCCTCCGACAGCTTGTCGTCCATGATTCGTTCAACGTTTTCCCGCTTCTTGTCCCGGTAGTCTTCGTAACAACAGTCGCCGATAACATCGGGAATGATTCCGAAAAAAGCCAGCTCCTCGTCGTAGGCCATGAGACACTCGTACTTGGAGAAGTGCAACTTACCGGTGCGATAGTAGTTCAAGATATGCCGAAATAGATAAGGATCTCTGTCAAAGAAATACTCCTTTAATACCTCGTCGTAGAAAAATTCTCTCTCGTTCGAACCCAGCAGAGTATCGGAATATTTTTCTACTGTGTTCCTCCAAGTTTCAAACTTGATACCGCTAACATTGATGACAAATTTTTCATCCTCTATACCTTGTTTCTGCTTGGCAATCGGCGGTGCAGGCAGAGGGTTGTTAGCGATGGGAACCCAGCCTATAGCAGCCGCTCGGGCGAATGGAAGCCAAGCCGCGACAGAGGCCATATCTCTCGGTGCAGAACTAAACGTCAGTGTTAGGCATAAGAGCTGGCATACGGTGGGTCGTTCTTTCTGCGTATTTCAGGCAAACCAGTGAGATTTTAGGGCTAAACACCCGGGAATTAAACGGGACAGTGTCAATCGACATTCCCGACAAAAAAGACGTATAGTTTTTTTTATATTGGCGTGAGTAAAATGTTCTATGTCGCACGCTTTCCCTCACATAGTAGCCTGACATTTTTCTTCACCGGTTAGCCCAGTGCTCTATATATCCGCTCCACTGTGATATCCGGACAACAGCGCCATTGTGAAGAGAAGCCGTCGTGCGCTCATGGTGTCGATAGCAGCTATGGACGCGCATTGACTGCGACACAGAAAACGTCCTAGTTATTGCGTGAGTTGTGCGTGGCGACGAACGTGAAAGGTACGCGTGCAAACATGGAATCTCACGTGTACTTTCATGCTAACAACATCTTGTAGATGAAACTTTGTTTACTTACGTGAAAAGGTGTAGAGAACCTGTAACACTGTTTTAACTCTAGTTTTAATTCCCAGCGATATTCGAACACTTTCTGTATCAGCGGTTGGATCTGCCAATAATTGTTTTCGTGGGGTAAAGAGGAGCCTTTTAAAAGCTGGTCTGAAGGTTATTTCTAGTAATGAGAGGTTATTTACGAGCTACTCTGAAGGTTACTTCTGGTAATGAAAGGTTGTTTACAAACTAGTTTGAAGGTTATTTCTGGTTATGAGAGGTTTTTTTTTCAAGCTAGTCCGAAGGTTATTTATGGAAATGAAAGGTTCTTTACAAACTAGTCTGAAGGCTATTTTTGCTAATAAATGTTTTTTGCAATCTAGTCTGAAGGTTATCTCTGGTAATGAGATTTTTTTTTACAATCTAGTCTGAAGGTTATTTCTGGTAATGAGAGGCTCTTTAGAAGCTAGTCTGAAGGTTATCGTTTCTAGTAAGTGTTTTTATTACAAGCTAGTCTGAAGGCTATTTTTTCTAATACATATTTTTTACAAGCTAGACTGAAGGTTATTTCTGGTAATGAAGGTTTCTTACAAGCTAGTATGAATGTTATTTTTGCTAATACGTGTTTTACAAGCTAGTCTGAAGGTTATTTCTGGTAATAAGGGGTTCTTTACAAGCTAGTCTGAAGGATATTTCTAGTAATCACAGGTTATTTACGACCTAATTTGAAGGTTATTTCTAATAATGAGAGGTCTTTTGCAAGCTAATCCGAAGGATATTTCTGGTAATCACAGGTTATTTACAAGCTAGTTTGAAGGTTATTTCTGATAATGAGAGGATATTTACAAGTAAATCTGAAGGTTATTTCTGCGAATGAAAGGTTTATTACAAGATAATATGAATGCTATTTTTGCTAATAAGTGTTTTTACAAGCTTGTCTTAAGGATACTTCTGGTAATGAGTGGTTCTTTATAAGCTGGCCTTGACGGTTATTTCTGGGGATAAGGGGTTCTTTACAAGCTGGTCTAAATGTTACTTCTACTAATGAGTGGTTATTTACGAGCTAATCTGAAGGTTATTTCTGGTAATGAGAGATTTTTTTCAAGCTAATCTGAAGGTTATTTCTGGTAATCACAGGTTACAAAATTAGTTTCACAATATCTTGTAAGAAAACACTTACTTTAAAATATAATCTTCAGCCTAGCTTGCAAAAAAGCCTCTCATAACCAGAAATAGCCTTCAGACTAGTTTGTAAAGAACATTTCATTATCAGAAATAACTTTACGACAAGCTTGTAAAAATCCCCTCCTTACTAGAAATAACCTTCAGAATAGATTGTAAAGAACCTCTTATTACCAGAAATAACCTTCGGCTACCTTGTAAAAAACATCTCATTACCAGAAATAACCTTCGGCTACCTTGTAAAAAACATCTCATTACCAGAAATAACCTTCGGCTACCTTGTAAAAAACATCTCATTACCAGAAATAACCTTCGGCTACCTTGTAAAAACTCTCATTACCAGAAATAATCTTCGGCTACCTTGTAAAAAACATCTCATTACCAGAAATAACCTTCGGCTACCTTGTAAAAAACATCTCATTACCAGAAATAACCTTCGGCTACCTTGTAAAAAATCTCTCATTACCAGAAATAACCTTCGGCGACCTTGTAAAAAACATCTCATTACCAGAAATAACCTTCGGCGACCTTGTAAAAAATCTCTCATTACCAGAAATAACCTTCGGCTACCTTGTAAAAAACATCTCATTACCAGAAATAACCTTCGGCTACCTTGTAAAAAATCTCTCATTACCAGAAATAATATTCAGACTAGATTGTAAAGAACCATTTGTTACCAAAAGTAGCTTTCAGACTAGTTTGTAAAAAAACATCTCATTACCAGAAATAGCTTACAGACTAGCTTGTAAAGAACCATTTGTTACCAAAAGTAGCTTTCAGACTAGTTTGTAAAAAAACATCTCATTACCAGAAATAGCTTACAGACTAGCTTGTATATTAGGACATGTTTTTTTTACAAATTATTCTGAAACTATTTTTGCTAGTAAATGTTTTTTACAAGCTATACTGGAGGTTATTTCTGGGTATGAAAGGCTTCTTATAAGCTAATATGAAGGCAATTTTGCTAATAAGTGTTTTTCACAAGCTGGTCTGAAGGTTATTTCACTTAACGAGTGGTTATTTGGACACTAGTCTGAAGGCTATTTTTGCTAATGTGTGGTTCTTTACAAGCTTGTCTGAAGGTTATTTCTAGTAATGAGGGGTTATTTACGAGCTATTCTGAGGGTTATTTCTGTAATGAGATGTTTTTATAATGAGGGGTTATTTACGAGCTATTCTGAGGATTATTTCTGTAATGAGATGTTTTTATAATGAGGGATTCTTTATAAGCTACTCTGAAGATTATTTCTGCTAATGAAAGGTTATTTTACAAGCTAGTGTGAAGGCTATTTTCACTAATGAGTGGTTTTTTACGAGCTAGTCTGAAGGTTATTTCTTGAAATGATAGGTTATTTACAAGCTAATCCGAAAGTTATTTTTGGTAATAAGTGGTTCTTTACAAGCTAGTCCGAAGGTTATTTCTGGTAATGAGAAGTTCTTTACAAACTAGTATAAAGGCTATTTTTCTAATGAGTGGCTCTTTAAAAGCTAATCTAAAGGTTATTTCTAGTGATGAGTGGTTCTTGACAAGCTAGTCTGAAGGTTATTTTTTGTAATGGAAGGTTTTACATAACTTAGTTCAAGGGTATTTCTGAAGAAATAGCTATATTTGTTTCATACAAAGTTATTATTTTTCTAGACAAAAAGGATGACCGCTGAATTCATCGTGTCTCGGCGGTCACCATAGTGACAATGACGTCAACAAAAGTCGGCCTTACCCTAACGAATCATCTACACAGTTCTCTAACCTTTCCTCAGTGATTCTCCTTGTGATAGCTTAAGGGTTAGAACACATAACCTACGCAAGGTTATATTATGCTTCAGAAAATGTAAGTAAAATTTAATACACTCAAAAGTGTTACTTATTTGTGTTGAAAATTTCGTCGGAAAAATATATTTGTTATTAACCACTTTTTTTAAATCTATTTACTGGGCAAATGTAGCATTAATATCAACTGAGACTAAGTTATGTCTTCTAAATATTTCCTAGGTTATTATAAGATTATGAAGGTTAGTTACTGTGTTACAAGCTACAAATTAATTTTATTGTTCCTAACAAACTAAGGGCTAACCTATAAAAATGAATACAAAACTGACTATTAAATAAACACTTGGTGAGAGAGTTCAAACTACCAAGAAGTTTGATATCTTGGAAATTGTAAAACTTGTAATTTTCTATACAGCGTTACTGTCTTAAGCATTGAGTCTTTTCTTTGGATAGAATATTCTTTCGGGTGTGTTGTGGAAGGGGTTGTATAATTTGGAAGTATCATTTCATGCCCCTAAATTGTTTTAATCAATTGTAAAACTTGTAATTTTCTATACAGCGTTACTGTCTTAAGCATTGACGGCGAGTGAGTCTTTTCTTTGGATAGAATATTCTTTCAGGTGTGTTGTGGAAGGGGTTGTATAATTTGGAAGTATCATTTCATGCCCCTAAATTGTTTTAATCAATTGTAAAACTTGTAATTTTCTATACAGCGTTACTGTCTTAAGCATTGAGTCTTTTCTTTGGATAGAATATTATTTCAGGTGTATTGTGGAAGGGGTTGTATAATTTGGAAGTATCATTTCATGCCCCTAAATTAATAAACTCTCCCCAGTGACTTACATGTATCCTCTCTCTCTCCAGAAATACTGGAC